CTTTAACCAAAACACCCGAGTGCTCTGCCTCTTGGTACACAGCATGGTGAGAATCCCGCTCGTGCCCAGCACATCCGGCGCTGTGAAAATCAAGTACACCGGTAGATGACCGAAGGCCTTTGAAAATTCAAGTGCACGGTTCAGGTGAGAGACGTTCATCATCACCAGCAACACTTCCACGCGCCCATCCTCATCTGAGAACTACGGCAGGGGGCGGTCGCCGGCACCAACGATTCATCCTCCTGGTCCTGAGCTCCCGAGGAAAGAGCCGGCAGCAGAGCCCCAGGCTCCTGGGCTGGGACCCCCAGCCAGCGGCACCGACGGGTGGGGAAGCCCGAGTTCACCGCTGAGAAGGAGAAACAGAGATTCCCCAGGGAGACGCACGCTTTCTTCCCCAAACCACAGCTTCCTTCACTTTGATCTGGTTTGAGACTCTCTTCAAAGAAGAGACTCTTCCTGGAAAAATCAGTCCCGAGGACCACAGGGACACTTCTCCTGGAACTGCCTGAGGGCTCCATTCTTGGCAGGGTGTTTTCAGATCAGGCCTGAGAGATGCCTCCAACGTTTTCTGCTAAAGAAAACTACTCGAAAGAAAAGAAAACGACTCGTCTTTCTTTCGATAACATGTTTTTAATCAGGACATCCCCAAACTCTGTGTCATCCCTGATTTCGGAGAGCAGCTTCCAGCAGCAGAAACTCATTCATGGCTCAAGTTAAACCAAACGTACCCAAGAAAGAAAGGATCTAGTCATTTACTTTCAGCCTCTTCCCATCGTGGGTTCTAGCAGGAAATGAAAGGAAAACAGTGGCACCTCGGAGTTGTTAAGAAAGAATCCAGGGGTGAAGGTTACTTGAAAAGGGTCAAGTTCAGCTGAGGTTTCTGCCCACTTAGTGAACGACGGTGGAATGACTCTAAAACCTGTCTCTCTCCTGGGCGATCAGAACTTGTTTCTATGGAAATGGGATTTTTGCACCATGTTTGTCATTTCAAAAAGCATGGCTGGTTTTCAGTTTTCCCTAGAAAAATTCATTTCTTTTTCCTCAGTGGGAATTTCCATGATCCAATTTCATGCCTCATTTTGCCCAGGGCCGTTCACAGCTCTTAATTTTAGGTGCGCCTGGCTTTGTCTAGTCCCGGAATGGTGCAGCGCTGGCAGAGGAGAGGCATGCCAGGGCACATCTGTGTTGCACAGGAGGAAGGGAGTTGTGTGCTGCCCGTTCATGAGAAGGACACGCGTGCCCAGGGCCAGGGGGCAGCTCTGCTACCCCCTCGGTAACTCTGCCCAGGACCCACTGGTCATACTGACCGTCCCCCAACTTGCCCTCATCCGTGGGTCCCCTGACTGCAGCTCACATCCGCACAGCCTGGCCCTGGCCTGGCCCCAGGCCTGCCAAGGTCCTTAGATCAGATAGCGATGGTAAGAGTTGAGTGCCTAAAGTTAATGACCTTCTTTGTCCTCTGGCCTCGGGCCATCATATTCCTAGTCCCACTCTGAGTGTAACCCTTGGCCGGGAACATGGCCGGGAACAAGGAAGACTCGACTTGGCCCCCAGGTGCTCAGCAGGGCCGTAACCACCTGGGGTGGAGCCCACCTGTCACCAGCCGCAGGATAACAAGGGAGCCCGAGTGCTCAGCTCCACGCAGGGCCTGAGAGCAGCACCCCCAGCAACCTCAGCCTTGCAGATGTTGTCAGATAGTTGGCCCTTCCTTCTGAGGTGATCCCTGGCTCCAGCGAGAGGTCAGAGTGGAACCCGAGCCAGCTTCCTGTGTCCAAGGTCCAGCTCTGCACCGTCCAGCTGCACACCCTTGGCTCCGTGGCTCCTCGGCTCCTTCCTTCTGAGGTGATCCCTGGCTCCAGCGAGAGGTCAGAGTGGAACCCGAGCCAGCTTCCAGTGTCCAAGGTCCAGCTCTGCACCGTCCAGCTGCACACCCTTGGCTCCGTGGCTCCTCGGCTCGGACTTTCACAGTGGGAGTAATTACAGGCCCTGCCTCAGTGACGGACACGACGCCCTTCGGTGAGTGCTTAACTGGCGTTGGCTAACACTAAGTGAATCACGTTATAAATAACAGAACCAGGGAGGCGGCCCTTCTTGGCAACCAAGCCTGGATGGATGTGGTCACCTGGCTGCTCTCCGTATGAGATGCAGCAGGTCTTCTGTGCTGAGGCCCCTCCCTGCCAGGATCCACCTACAGACATGCAGGGCGGGGAAACCTGAGAGACACATGCGGGCTGGAACCCACTGTGAGCACCCCAGGAGCTCGACTGACCCCAAAATGACTAGGGGATATGAGCTGTCCTGCTGCTATTCCGAGAGAGGCCTCCTGGGCTGAGGTCCCTGGATTCGCTGGGGGTAGTGCTTGGGGACCAGGGCTTGGTGCAGGCTGCCCTGCTGGCTCGAGCACTGAGTTTGTCCCTCTAGCCCTAGATCAGCCCCTTTCTACTCCTTCCTTCCTGCGGACATCACTGATGAGGGGAGCCAGAGCCAGAAAACCTTAGCCTGAGTCCGACCGGCCCTGCATGTGGACAAGCCACTCAGCCTCTCTGAAAAGTGGGTCTAATTGGTATCACCCCCCACGCCCGAGTTGCCCTGAAGACCGATCGCACACGTGAAAGCGCTCGGTGAAGTGGGAAGGCCTTTTAAGTGTGTTACTCCACGTCACGCGATGACTGAGGAACCGCCTGATCCCAGCGTGGGAAAGGCAGCGCTAGCTGAGTTTCAAGGTCTCCTCGGGACTTGAGTGCACAGTGTTTGTAGGTGCGTACGCACCCCCAGAAACGGGGTTTTCAGAGTGCTTTTTCCTGTCCATTGGCAGTGCAGCGTGAACGCCACATTAGTGGCAGGGGACAACACATCAGCAGGCTTCTCTCTGCCAAGGCCTGCTGGTCAGTCCTCCTCCGAAGAGTGGTGGGGCCCTCCCAGTAACTTGCGTCCACACGGAGATAACCGGGAACCCGTGGCTGTCGGCCGGCCTCGAGGACCCCACCGAAGTGTCCTCACCGACCGATGGGCTGAGTGGCTGGGACCAGACGCCTGCTCAGCAGGAGTACGGAGAGACTTCATTAGTCACATGACGGAACCCGAGATGCGACACCAGTGGGAGGAACTGAAGACCAAGGCGCCAGGGCATGGGGGACAGGGAGCCACCACAGACGGGCTCCCGTGAGAGCTGGGACAGCCGGCCGGGGCTGCTCCAGAGCGCGCAGGCCTCAGACAGAGCCCGGGGGTCGGGTTTAGAAATGACTCCCCACTTATCCTACCTTCAGTTCTGGTGGAAATCACTTAAACCCTGCGTGATACTATGAACTGCCAGCTCGGGGACAACTGGACACTCTTTCTCTGTGATGATGTCTGTCCCCGGGACAGAATGGACTGGCAGGAGGAATGCGTCTCACTCAGGTTCACCAGTAAAGCCCTAACCTGGGGCCTCCCTGGCCCTCCCTGCAGGTAGCACGGGAGGGGGGAAGAGCCCACGCACATGTATCCAGACACCCACGCACCACCCACCGCTGGCGTGGCTGCCCTTACACCACCACCTCGAAGCTCGCCTGGGGCTCTGCTGAGGCTCTAAGTGGTCTTTTAGGTGGTCCTGGCAAAGATTTGGGGGCACAGAAGGGAGAGCAGAGCTTCTCTTTGGAGCCAAGGTGGGTTGGCTCTGTGTCCTCTCATTTCATGACATGTCTTTACGGGGAGTGCCACGTCCCACCAGGATGGGTGTGACCTTTCCTCTGTGGCCCGGAGTCCAGCAGAATGAGCCCAGTGCAGAGGCTGAGCACAGACATGTCTGGCACAGGTGGCTTCACAAACTGGCCTCTTTGCATCCACCTGGGCTGCTCCCCAGGGCTCTTCCCGGCCAGCACTGCACAGTGCCACACACGCGGCAGCGTGCGCCTGCGCCGCCCTGGGACTTACCTTGGAGCGAGGCTGGCAGACTTGGCTCCCGTCGGCAAATCCAGTCCGTCCCCCGGCTTTGCCGATTTCTCTCGGTTCATTTGCTGCAGGATTGAGTTCAATTCGCTAATGACGTTCGCCTTTGGGCCTGAGAGCATCGGGCTTTTGACCTCCGTGATGTCGCCCCACAACTTGGAGGTCCTTGGCTGGATGACCTTGACCACCCCGGGCTGCACAGCGCCCGGAGGCGGCGGGGGAGCGGGCGGGGGGATGACGAAGGTGTCTGCATCTTCCTCCACCAGCGCGTCTTGATAAAGTGCATTGTTTTTGTGGATCACGGGCTTCATTTTTGGCTTAGGAGGTACGGGGGGTTTGTCCACCAGGAACGCTTGCCCGTCTGCATAGACTGTGCACGTGTCCACGTTCTCCCCGCCCTCGGAAGACAGGGTGGAGATGCTGGACACTGTGGAGATCGTGCTGGTCGTCTCGAGGTGGTGGTCGCTGCTACTCCGGCTGTCCGCCTCCTCGATCCCAGAGTCGGCGACAGCGTCAAAGCTTTCGGGGGGCGGCAGGAACGAGGCAGGCAGACAGTTTGAAAGGCCAGCTGGCTTCTTACCGTCTGCAGAGTTGGATGGTTGGCTGGAGTTCAGGGGAGGGGACTGAGGGGCGTCGTTTCTTTTCTGCTTGCCCACGTCTGTGAGCGCGGGGACAGAAGCGGCGCGGTCGTCAGGGATATCAAAACTATTTGCAAATTCCAGGGGCGGAGGCAATGGCTCTGTAAAAATAAAATCCTCATCCAGATCCACGGATGCCAGAGGGGGAGGAGGGATGCGGAATGGCAAAATCACCGCCTCTTCCACAGAGCCGGCCGCCACGACGGTTCTGCCGGGCGCAGCGGTGGGCTCGGGGGCGGCGGCGACCTGTAAAGCACCTTCGGTTTCGGAAGCAGCTTCTGGCACCTCGGGCAGCGAGCGGTCTGGCTTGGCCTCCACGTGCGCCTTTGCGTCACCTTCCTCCGGGGGCCCGTCGGGCTGGGCGGCCTCCACGGTGTGGACCATCAGCAGGCCGGCCGACTGCTGCTGCGACGTGTCCACGATGTGGATCAGCATGTTCTTCTTGTCGCCGCCTTTCCGGTCCCTGCTCGGCTCGGCCTCGTACTTGTTCTCTGTCTCTTGCCGCCGCAGGGGCCCCCGGGTGTTCTGCCTGGGGACCGGGGGGAAGGCTGCTTCCATGCTGGGCCGCATTTTGGTATCGATGTAAAGAGGTTTGTTGAGGTCGGCCTTGGGGGCCTCCCCCTTGGGTCCCTGCAGGGACTCCTTCATGGCTCGGTCCCTTGCGGAAAGTGCCAGGGCCAGCGGGGAGCTGGGGTCGAGCGGCCGCCCGGTGAGCGGATGGACGTAATTCTCAGGGCTGGCCGCGTTGCTGCTCTTGGGGGGCACCCCCGGGCTGCTCTCGGGCCCCTTGGCTGGGGGTGTGGAATTCAGTGGCCTCCCGGCCTCGCCGCCACCCACAAAATGGTTCTCAGGCTCCCCGGGCATCGCCCCTGGCGCGGGGGGCGACAGCTGCTCCGTGCCATCCTCGTCTCCAAATCCGCCGTCCTCGGGGAAGGTGGGGGGCTGCATCCTAGGGGCGGGCGGCCCCAGACCCACGTCCTCGTCCCCCAGGTCTGTGGAGAGGAAGGCCGGGGAGTTCCTCCTGGCTTCCAGACGCTTCTCCCGGTCGCGGACGGCCCCCGCGATGGCGGCGGCAAAGGGGCTGCTGACGGTCAGGCTGTCATCGGGCCGCAGCTGGCCCGGCTGCTCCGAGGCCTGGGGGTCGATCTCCACGCTGCTGCCCTGGCTGCTCTTACCGCTGCTGCTGGTGGACGGCTCCTTGACGATGATGGTGGGGATGGGGATGGAGCATGTCTTCTCGGGGCTGTCCTCCACGTTGGACTGCTTCACCAGCATGCCCTTCCGACGGGCGGGCTTGGCAGGGACGTAGACGGCCTTGCTGGCGATCTTCCCCACCTCCGAGTACGGGTTTTCGGGCATCTGGCCCCTCTTGTTGCGGAAGTTGGCCTGGGGGGCGACGTTCCGACTGTACAGGTCGTCGGAGTCCAGCGAGTAGCGGTCCAGCTCCCTCCTGTAGTACATGCCCTTATCTCTCATCACGGTGGCCACTGTGTCGGATCTGGTGGCCGGGGACACCTTGGCGGCGGAGTTCTGATTGAATGCGGGCTTAATCGTCCCGTAGACTCTCGGGGTTGGGGACTTGGGGCAGTTGTAGGCCGTGGGGGAAGGTGGAGGTGGAGACGGGGGCACAGACTGCGGCGGGGGCGGGATGTCCTCCGAGGTGTCCGGCATGGACAGGCTCCTGGTGAACTTCAGCATCGGAGGAGCCAGAAACTGCCGCTCTTCCTCCGTTATTCCTGCAGGAAGAGAACAGGTGGAGTTTTCAGTCACCGCAGCCTCAGAAACCCCACGAGGCGCCTGGGATTGTGAAACACACACCATCTCCACAGACTCACAAATCAGACAAGGCACAGGTGTTCACGAAACAGCACAAGCCACGATGCCAAGAGGTTAGTAATGTGGCCCATTCTGGGCAAAAAATAATAACAGAAAAGTAAGGGGATGCAGTGGGCGTGTGCTGCTGGGACTGCTGTCCTTCCAGGGCACGGGCGGTGGTACCCAGAGCTGCGTGCTGCTCTGCAGGCCCAGCCCTGAGTGCCTGACCGCCTGTGTGTGTGCATGTCTGTGCATGTACACTGTGTGCACATGTGCGTGTGTGCATGTACACTGCATGTGTACTGTCGCGTTGGGGGCAGGGACTGGCATGAAAGGGGCTCAGTGCCAAGGACTGTGCCATGGTTCTGATGGTGCTTGAGCTCTGTCGTTGCTGCCTAGGTACACAGGAAGGCCTGCCATCTTTCAGCAGAGCCACCTGCCTGCTGGTGGCCCTTGTGTGCTGGGAGGAGGTGTCACCGTGACAGTCTCTCCCAGGGTGTCACGAGCTGTTTTGTTGCCTGACTTCTCTGGGGTATGCTGAAGTCCCTGTGCTGGTGCCCCCTGGGCCCTCAGGAGGATGCTGGAAGGTGGCTGGCTCAGAGGCAGTGCCATAGCGGGGAGCTCGACTCTCCTCTTTCCCCAAAGATGCTCTGCCAAGCCAGGAGCAGGGTCCTGAGCAAACACGCAGCCTCGGTGAGCCCCTTCTGGGTCATCACGGGGTACGAGAGCTGCTCCTACCTAAGACCCTCCGGAGTGGGGCTGAGGGCCCCGCAGGCTACGACGACCGTGACTAACCAGGATCAGGTTCGGCTGATGTGGTGCAAAGGCAGCCGTGTTGCAAGACCTGACTGGATAGAGTGCGTGGTGCTGACGTGTGAGAGGAAGCACCCTGTCCTGAGAGGGCTGGTGGTGTGGCTGTGGGCTCTCTAGGGTGCACTGATGGGGCGTGACCGTACAGACTGTTCAACAGTCCGAGACATGAACACGTCAACAGGATGCACGCCAGAGAGGGGAGCAACACACGCACACACACACCAACGGACACGGGGTGCTGGGGTCTCGTGTCGGGGGCATGCAGGTTTTCCAAAGAGGCAGCAAAATGAATTACTTGAAATAAAAAAAATTCCTAGGACAAACTACAGTAATTTATTCCAATGAAAACTTCCATTCAATAAGGGTATTCCAAATTTAACATACTCCTTGTGGGCGGATATTTTGGCACTGCAAAGATTGGTTGCTATAGGTGGTCGTCACTGACCGCTCACTGCGTGTTGGTTGCCTGGCAGGTACGTTCCCAAGGAGTAATAATTTAAGAATACACCTTATAAAGTAAATTGCGTTACATTCAAATTACAGATTCCAAACTGTAAGGATTCACTAACCTGATAGAAAGATTCTGCTGTCTGACAGGAGGAAATCAATTGTTATTAACCAGTAAAAAAGAGCCAGCGACACCACATCGCGTATATGCAACTCTGCTGGTGGCCCTGAGCTCGCTGTGGGTGACAGTTTTACGCAGCAGACACCACCTCCACGGTCACTTATTGCTTTGTGACTGCCTGCTGTCGTCCACCTCAAACTAGTCACACACAGGCCATGTCTCCAAGTCACATCACCAGGAGGCCTTTCCAGAACACACAGAACAGTGTCCCCTGGGGTGGGCGAGGGACGCTCTTCTATTTAAATGGCAAGGGTCCGCTGGTGTCCGGCAGTGGCCTTAGCTCCTATGAGATTTTACATGGATTATCTCACAGAGGGACTGTCTGCAAGGGTCAAGTTTACCTCTGCCTGTCACAGAGTCGGCAGGAGTGACATGGACATGGAAGGGAAGCAGTGTTCTACAACACACAGTACAGTATTGCAGTGGGATTCAAGAACCTGACCCAACCACCCTTAGAAGTATGTCCATTGAGCTCCTACAAAGAAACGGTAGAGGCCTGTCAACGCAGGGAACACGCGGGACCCACTCAGAGCACCCATTCTGAGCCACGCAGGGTGAGGTGGGGGAGCCAGCCTGGACCACCCCATCGTCCCTCCACCTTCCTTCCTGGCATATGGCCCCCCTCACCCTGCTGGTATTATCACAGATCACTGGGCTTCAGGATTGGGGAAACCAGCCTGGATTTTGTATCCATAGAAAGTTCCACACCACGCAGATGATCAAATTGTGAGCTGGTGGGTGAGGCCGGGTGCCCACCTGCTGGTGGGTGGGCCTGGCGGGAGCTGCTAGGCGGGGACGCCAAGGCCATGGTGGTGGGCCCAGTGGCCGGCACTCCCGAGGGCCCCGAGGGCTGCGTTTGGGAGCCAAGGGGCAGCTTCTGCGGGTGAGGGCCACGCTTCTTACCTATCGACTTCTGCCTTCGCATCGTACCTCGAGGGAGGCCCAGAAATGGGCCTTTCGGGCTCCCAGGAACGGTGGGCGTCATCACGGCAATCCCTTGGCGTTCGTACACAGACTGCAAAGCAGAGAGCCCAGGGTGAGACGCAGCCCGGCCAGCCCCCACCCGCGGTCATAGGGCCTGGAGGGCAGCCAGGTCACTGCGGCTTTCTCAGCTGCTTCTGGAGTGGTTTTAGGTCTTTGGAGAGGCTGATGAGACACCAGCATGAGGACCCCAGAAGGGCCCTCTCATGAGCTCCACAGTGTCGCCCCGTGAAGGTGCCAGCATGCCCCGCGTGTGAGCCCTGGTCTGCAGTGACCCCATCACCAAAGGCAGATGGCGTTCGGGAGGAGGGGCCAGAGCAGGTGTCCACACCTGGCTCCCCCCTGCTGTGCCACCCTGGTCACATCCTCCAGCAGGAGTCTCTGTGTTCCTCCTCCATAAAATGGGCTAACACCCAGCGGCCCCACAGCATGTAGGGAGGTGAGCCTGGTGCCGGGCGCTGCACGGGTGAGCTTGAGGGAGTTGCAGGATTGCTAGGAACACGCCCCGAGTCTGCGGCACGTGGCTGTGCTGGCCTCCTCCCACCTCCGCCCTGGAAACACGTCCTGTGCAGTCTCTGTCCAGCCCTTGTGCCGCTCCGGGCTGCAGCTCTGCAGAACTGCGATGCTGGCCGTACCCCGCAGCATCAGACGGTGACTTAGGAGAAAAATCGGACGCAAATGCTCAGTGGAAACATTTGTGTGCAGGCTTGTATGGCTCCAGCCTCCAGATCCCGCAGGCTGGGGAGGGGAGCATCGAGGGCAGCCATCCTACGAGGCTGGCAGCGTCTGGGCAGTGTCTGAGACAAGGCAGGGCCCGTGGGTGCAGCGAGGGGCGGGGAACAAAGCAGGAGGCAGGGTCTGGAGGGTGGACCTCGCGGAGTTCCGGAGGTGCTGGGAGGAGGTGTGAGGGCGAACGCTTTAATTTTAATCATTAGCAGTTGTGTTTGTGTGAATGTATACTGCAGAAAACTCATACCAAATTTATGATATTTCTGAGTGTGACTGTTTAAGAAAAGGCTAGATTAAACAAAGTGAGTCAATTTGAAACTGACTCAAGGATAATACTCAGTAAGGTCAGTAATCAGAACAGGTAGTGCTGGGACCTGGTGGCACAGAGAAGGCGTCTGGAAGACAGCTAGAGCAGCCTGAGGGTCCAGAGGCCCCGCTTGCCCGTGGGTGGAACAGAGCGGGTGCCCGCCTGGGGAAGGCGGCCCCAGCAAGGACGGCCTGTCCGAGCCGGCAAGCGAAGCCTGAGCACAAGGCAGTCCCAGGCCCGAGGACAGCTGCCGCCCAGAATCCCAGTGCACAGGGCACGATGTCTGTGCACATGTCCCTGCCTGGGGAGGACCCCGGCGGGTGGCTCCTCCACACCGCGCTTCAGTGCTCTGGTAGACTAGGAGCCACTGTCCCTTCTGTCTGAAGAGCACTCCCTAGGCCCCTGACATCCACGGGCTCAGGGTCCTCGGCTGAGCAGGCGGGGGCATGACCTCGAGGCTCAGGGGGGCTGAAGGACTGAGCCGTAAATGAGGGGCAAGGTTCAGTCTCCAGCCTGGCCTGTGCTCCCCACCGTGGGTCTGCTCTGGACCAGGGCGCTCGACCTGTGGCCACTTGGATTTGGGCTCCGTGTCTGGATGGCATGTGGAGCGTGTGCCTCACCTGCTGATCCCTGCCCACCCACTTCCTGGGTCACACCCCCACCCCCATGGTCCCCGGGGGGGGATGGCCACTCACGTTCATGTCCGAGACGGGCGCGAAGCACCGGCTGGTGGGCCGCTGCTTGATGGTGGCCACCCTCGACTCCACGGCCACGTTCTCCGCAGTCCGGGGGGGCTTGGAGGCCGGGACGATCTCATCGGGTTTATCTGCAACGCAACCGTGAGGGTTGGAGCAGGCCCCCGTGACACGGTCCGGGAGGGCGGAAATCAGGGGAGTCGGGAAAAACGCAAAACTGCAGCGACCACTCCGCATCCGTCACCGCGTGGGGCGCGCCGCCCTGCTCCCCACACCTCGCCCAGGGAGGGGCGCGCGTCAGCACAGGCGGGACAGGGGACCCTCATGCTCGGCCTTCCTCTCCTTGGGGAGCGCTCAGCCCACCGAGGGCCCTGGAACTCTTCAGCCATTTCTTTAGTGGAATCACTCTGTTGCTACTAGTGGGACTTATTCTCGAAAGTGTTAACCAACTTTCAGAACTTTTTAAAGAGACTCAGAAATGTGGTGCCTTTGTAACAAAATGCTGTCGCCGCTATATAAGGACTCAACAGCCAAGGCTGGTGGGCATCTGGGAAGCTGGGGCCAGGAGCTCAGGAGCCCCCGGAAGCCTGTGCTGCACAAGGAAGTCCCCAAGTGTTTCCCCCAGGAGAAGAACACTCCCATTGCCTTCCGAAAAATAAAGCCAAAGGTTAGTTATAGGCAATCCTTAGAAAATTAAACAAAGTTTTAGAAAATAGAAATTTAAAGCATAAACTTTTTTTTCTTATACTTGGAAGCTGGAGCACATCCTAGAACTATCCTGGTGCCCTGGTTTTATCTCTGGGGTGTCTGAGATCAGGTACAAGGGTCTAGAGCTGTTAAGATGAAGGGTCTCGGTTCACTGAGACCTGCAGACTCAGAGTGTTTGGGTCCCCATGTGCATTTGGAAAATGCTCCAGCTGACTCCAACTGCGATTCTAGTGAGATGCCACCAGGTCAGGATGATGCTGGTGTGGAATGGAGCCTGCTGGGTCCTGAGAGGCAGGCACTGGCCATGTCTGCAGAGGAGCAGACCACCCGAACCTTCTGCCTGCAGGCCCGAGGCTGCCTCCCAGGCAAAAGCAAACCTGTTCCTGGGGTCCGGCGGCTTCCTGAGAAGTGCAAGCCACTGAAAAGGCTCAGGCCTCTGGGGCCTCGCCCAGACCCCGAGCCCCGAGGCCGTTGTGAGCCAGAGAGCAAACCAGAGCCCTGGTGGCATCTCTAGAGGAGCTCTCCAGAGTCACAACATCACTCAAGGTCACCCAACACGGAGGCACTGACTTCTGACAAAGGCCGGCCAGATCCGAGGCCCCCACAAGAGGCAGCACACAGAGGGAAGGGGTGTGCGGGGCACAGAGTGGGGCGCCCTGCCATGGCTCACGACTCCCTGAGCAAACAACATGTGTGCAACTCTTATGTCTGTGCAAGCACTTCCGAGGTGAAGTCAGACAAGCTGCCCGATTCTGGGCCTTGTTCTAGACCAGTGGTGGCCAAGTCCTGTGCAGGCCGTTCTTGCATGGCCCTTGACCTCAGGGCGGACGTGCAACAGAGACCGTATGGCCTGCAAAGCCCGGGATGTTCACCCTCGGCCTGCTGGGAAGGTGCTCGCCAACCTTGGGTCTGCGCTGCTACGCCGGTGTACTGGCCAGCAAACGCCGAGTCCTTGCAGAGCAGGTCCCAGGCCATTCTTCTCTGCTGGCATACCCCTGTGATATGGGACCCCAATTTCAGGGGATCCCCCTCTGTCCCCTGCTGCCCCCTCTCCCTTCATGGCCAAGTCCAGACGACCAGCTTGCGGGCCCACAGGGGCCCATGCTGTGTCCCCCTCACAGCGCCCTCTCCTGTCACTTGGGGACCCCAGAACTCTCTGGCTCTTCTCTGACTTTGCTGGTGCCTCCTCCTAGGGGGGCATTTCTTTCTCTCTGGTCAGGCAAATAGAAACACTCGGCAGCAGGGATGTCCCCTGCTACGGTCACCCGTGTCCTCAGCCCACTGAACTGTGCCATCCTTACCCACGTTAGGGGCCCTGCAGGAGGCTCATCTCCCACCCCACCCACCTCTTTTCTAACCTTCTCCCCTTTGCTGGAGTCCCTGCTCCCACAGCTGTGTGGTCATGCTGTGTCCACCGGCCACCTCCCCAGCAATCTACTTGCTCCAGGAAGCGTCTCCCCTCCCAGGTCGGGGCTGGGATTCCTTTTGTGCCCCTTCAGTGGCTGGTGATGAGCTTGTTTCTGTGCAGGTCGCCCCCACCATGCCTGTCAGCCGGGCCTTGCTCCCAGGGGTGCAGGTGGCGCTCGGGTGACCTGCTGTGGCCAGCCAACTGTGATGCATAGGTCCAGCTTGGTCTGTCCCTCAAAGATGTGCCTCTCAGCAGTGGCTGATCAGATTTACTTCAGTCGTGGTGTGGCTGCTGTGTTTTTCTCCAGTGCTGGGGAGCCATGGTGCTGGGCGGGAACACACGGTGGGTTGCTGGGAACCACCGGCTCTTCCTGACTGGGCTCTGGGGTAACCACATGAACCAGCCTCACCCGACGATGTGCACAAGTGAGGGGCCCTCCTGGCCGCACGGGCGAACCCCACATGTGCTCAGTCAGAATCCATCGAGTCGAGACATGGCAGAGGTCCATTAGAGCCGGGGGAAACTGGGCACATCTGTCCTGGCCTAACCTCTGGGCTGTTTTAAGCTCAGTGGCAGAAGGTGGCAGCCAGGCTGGGTAGCTGGGGGAGGGAAGGCTGTCTGCTGTGACCACCACCCGCAAGATGCAGGAGGCTCACCCCTGCAGGGAAGGCCCTCTGCACGGCGTCGGTGCGTGAAGGCTGCAGCCACACCCTGCGGTGCAGCTGGCTGGGCACATCCAGGGGCCAGGGACTCTAGGGCTGAACAGCTCTCCTGTGACTAAGAGTTAAACTGGCCAAGTCTTGGAGAGGCTCATTTCTAGCTGTGCCTTCCAGAAGTTGTGAGTCTGTTTCTCGGGTATCGAACCCCAGAGTGGATGGGGCTGGTTCACCTCCGTTCCCAGCATCTCTGGAACAAACCTGCAGTCTTCACGAGCCCAGACAAGCAGGCTGTGACCTTAGAACCGAGGGCCTCAAGTGATGGGTGTGCCCAGGGCGAGGCAGAGGCATCGTGGCCAAGGACAGCAGTGGCCCTGGTGGACGCTCTTCACTCCCGTCCTCATCCTGAGGAGGACCTGGCTGCAGAGGGGGGATTATTCGCATTTCACAAAGACAACTGAGGGTCGCCGATGCCTGATGCCACACGGGCAGAGACCGTGGGGAGCCTGAGCTCATGTTCCCAGCCTGTGTGCCTGCCATCTGGACAGGGCTGCCGGCCCTGGTAGGCCACAGCAGCGAAACACTTATTTGGAAATGGCCTGGGTCACCACCAGCACGATCTGCCTCGTCTACCCAACTGAAAAACAATGGGGGTGTGTCTGTCTAAAGTCAGGGCACCGTCACATCAGTCACCACGTTGGTGGTCACATAATGGAAGGTGCAGCCCCTGGAACCAGGGCCACCTTGAATGTGCGCATCCTTTCCCCTCCCGCCTCCACCCCAACCCAAATGTTCTTTTGAACCAGGACACACGGGAGCAACGTGGTTGGCTGCGGTGGCAAGGTCAGGGCTACTATTCCTTTCTAAGTTAGAGTTGTCTGTGAGATTCAGATGAGAACAGGGAAAGCCCCGTGTCACTGTCACGCGGGGGCACGGGTCCCCTCCTGGCCCTGGTCTCTCGGATGCGCTGACCAGTGGGAGTCCAGCAGCCCGCGTCTGCTCGGCCCCCGTCTCTGAGGTCTTGCTTACCAGAACACAAAGGCTTTTAAGAAAAGCTGTGAGACCGTGGGGTCCCGCTTCTCATGCTAGGCTCGAAAGGGTGATGCTTAATTTATAAAAGCCCAGAACTGTGTCTCTATTCAGGGACTCCAGATGAAGAGGATTAGTGAATCCAGCCTCCTGCTGTCTTAAAGTGAAGTACTTAGTGACTGAAAACAATCCTGCAGACAGATTTGAAAACTGTCAGGCCTTAAGAAACAGTCCAGCGATCAGTCGATGGCCATGCTCCACCGGTGACTGGGTGTTAATTCTCCAAGCAAACTAATGTTCTCTTTAGGAGACAGAAGTGATGCTACCCGGCCATAAATAGCAAACTTCTGGGTGTGTGCTCTGGGAGGTGAGGTGGTGGATTTGTCAAGCACGCAGAGGTCACCACAGCCGTGTTTCTCATGGGAGGCAGACCCCGTTCTTCTGCCCATCATCAGAGTCACCAGAGTCTCCCAGTCTGGGGGACTAACCCGGACCACAGGCAGACTCCAACATGGGTTACCCAGACAGTGCAGAAAGTGGGGTGCCCTGTGCCCTGACGCTGGGGGAATCCTGTGCCACTGTCCATGCACTCTGCAAGTCAGACGTCACTGGCTTTGCACAAGGTAGGCACCAAACTGTGCAGGGAAACAGCCCAAGTCCACAATTTGGTGCCATGCCAGGGTGGAAAGGCCCAGGATGACACGGGCACCATGTGGACGGGAGGGGAACCTTCTGGCCGGGTCTACCGGTTCCCAGGGGAAGAAAAAAAGAGCTCATGGCAGCCTCTTCAGCTCCAAGGTGGTAACGCAGCCGGCCCAGACCTGGGAGCAGACCTCAGGCCAGCGCTGGTGCTTGGCGGCTTCCCCGTCTACTCCC